TTATGGGGTGCGGGGAGGGCTCCGGGGAGGGCGATTTTAGGGGAGGGGGGAAAAAGTGCGGGGTCCGTCAGGCCCGGGAGGACGCGGGGAGGCCCGGATGGGTCTGGAGAAGCGCTCAGAGAACTCAGACCGGGCAGGGCACGGCGGAAACGCGTCAGCTCCGAGGGGGAAACTGAGGCACGGGGGTGCCGGGAATGGGGACGGCCCCAAAGCGCCCCGGTTGGGCAATGGAGCAACTCGAGCTTTGCAACCGCTTTGCTCCGGGTCATTTCCAGCCTTTCCCGGGTCACTGCCAGCCTTTTTCGGGTCATTTTCAGCCTTTTTCGGGTCATTTTCAGCCTTTTTCGGGTCATTTTCTGCCTTTTTCGGGTCATTTTTAAACTTTCCCGGGTCATTTTCTGCCTTTCCCGGGTCATTTTCAGCCTTTTTCCGAAGGTGGGTCATTTTCATCCTTTCCCGGGTCATTTCAATCTTTTCCCGGGTGATTTTCTGCCTTTCCCGGGTGATTTTCAGCCTTTCCCGGGTGATTTTCAGCCTTTCCCGGGTGATTTCCAGCCTTTCCCGGGTCATTTCCAGCCTTTCCCGGGTCATTTCCAGCCTTTCCCGGGTCATTTCCAGCCTTTCCCGAAGGTTGGACACTTCCCTCCTCCCCAGGGCTGGGGGAGCTCCGGGAGCCGCCTCTCCCCTCCAGCCCTGCGTCTCTGCAGACCCAAAAAAGGAAGAATTTGCCCCATTTCTCGGCGCTAGGAAGGGGATGTGATGACGGAGGCGAAGGTGGCAGAGCCGGGGCGTAAACAGGAAACGAGTCCTGAGCACCGGAGGATGAACCTGCATTTTGGGGCTCCCCAAATTCCAGCCCAAAATTGGATTTTTTTGGTGGTTGCAGCTCATCCCTGAGTCCCCTCCGCAGGAATTGGGATTTTGGCTCCTCTTGGCATCACCAGGATGCTCTGTGGTACCCAGGGCTCCACCCTGGCCTGCTCCAGGAAGGGATTTTTTGGTGCTCAATTTGGTGATTTTTACCATTTTCACACGTATTTTACATTTGAATCCTCCTGGGAAAAAAAATTATTTTTATTTTTATTTTTATTTTTATTTTTATTTTTATTTTTATTTTTATTTTTATTTTTATTTTTATTTTTTATTTTTATTTTTATTTTTATTTTTATTTTATGGTTATTTATATTTTTCATCTCTTGCCAGGGGACACTCAAGAGCAGGACCCTCATTCCTGCCATTCCCAAACCCCACAACTGAGAACCCCCAAATTTGGGGTCCCACCAGAGCTGCTGCCCCAAAACCCCATGGATTTATCCCAAACCTGCAAAAATCCCCTCCTGGTACCATTTTTGATGGATAATTTGGATTATTCCTGGATTTTATCTGTGTTAGGATGGAGGGAGGGAGCAGAGCCGGCTGTTGATTCTGAATTTCACCGAATTTTGCCCGTTCTTGCCAAAAACACTCAGGAAACCCAAAGTTTTTTCGGCTCCTCCTCGATTTTTTGGTTCCTTCTGCTTTTTCTGGGCTGGGTTCGTTTCCTTCCCTTCCCCTCCTGCTCCAGCCTCATTTCAAACCCTCCCCAGAACATTTTCGCTGTTGCAAATCAAATTTTTTCGGGGATTTAGCCCAAAAATTTATCCCAAATTGTGCTTTGGAACCCCAGGATCGTCGCCCTGCAGAGGCTTTGGGACCTTTATTCATCCTCTGACGGGTTTTGCTGCCTCAGCCTGGATTTTGGTGTGGAATTGGGTGTTTTTTTTCAGGAAAAGAGGTTTTTTTTTGCCCCGGAGGACTGGGAGGAAGCACATTGCGACGTGGGAGGAGGAAGACAACAGCAGCTGGCGGAACAAATGATTTTTTTCTCGCCTCGATTTCTCCTCTAGGAGAAGGAAAAGGGGGGGAAAGACCCTGAAAAATGAAATTTTGGTCAGGATTTCACACGAGGAAAGGCACAACCCCATAAAACCCATTTTTTTCATCATTTAAAACCCTCCCAGTTCCACATCCCGAGGCCTCTTCAGTTCCAAACTGAAGCTTTGAGCACCCCAAGGGGCTCAGCCCAAACTTGAATTCCAAAATCACATCTGAGCCTGTCCCCAGCTGGGATTTTGGGAACTTCCCATGACCCAAAAACCCAGCTGGGATCATCCAAAAATCTGAATCCCAGCATCTCCTCCTGCCGGGAAAATCATCCCCGGAGCCGGGAGTTTGGAGTTTTATTGGGGAAAAAAAGGATAAAATAATGGGAGGAAATGAACAATTCCCATTTTCCCCTCCCAGGTGCAGCTCTGGCGTCGCCGTGGATGCTCCAAATGCAAATTTAGCGTAAGGATATCTCCAGGGGATTAAATTTTCAGTGAGTTCCAGGCGCCTCTGCCTTTATCTGATCTCCCTCCTTCCCACCGCTCTCCCCGGAGGAGCCACACCCGCACTTTTGCCAGGGGGTTATTTGTATTTTTATTTTATTTTTATTTTAATTTTTATTTTTATTTTTATTTTATTTTTATTTTTATTTTTATTTTTATTATTTTTATTTTTATTTTTATTTTTATTTTTATTTTTATTTTTATTTTTATTTCATTTTTTATCTTCATTTTTTATTTTTATTTTTATTTTTCATTATAATTTTTTATATTTATATTTATATTTATATTTATATTTATATTTATATCTATATCTATATCAATATCTATATCTATATCTATATTTATATATATTTATATCTATATATTTATATTTGCGTTTATCTACATTTATATTTACATTTACATTTACATTTACATTTACATTTATATTTATACATATATATTTACTGCTATTTATATTTTGAATTTTATTTTTACTGTTATTTTTATTTCTATTTTTACTGTATATTATATATTATATTATATTATATTATATTATATTATATTATATTATATTATATTATATTATATTATATTATATTATATTATATTATATTATATTATATTAATTTAATTTAATTTAATTTAATTTAATTTAATTTAATTAATATTATATTATGTTAATTTACATTCATTTATATTAATTGATATTTTTAATTTTGTTTTTACTGCTATTTATATTTTAAATTTTACTGTTATTTCCATTGATATTTATTTCTATTTTTCCTGATATTTTCATTTTCCCGTTCTGCTGGGCTGGGCCGGCTCTCCCTGAAGCTCCCGAAGCTCCTGAGGTTCCCGAGGTTCTCCCAAAGCTCCTCCGAGGCTCCTGAGGTTCTCCCGAGGTTCCCCCGAAGCTCCCGAGGTTCTCCCGAGGTTCTCCCGAGGTTCTCCCAAGGTTCTCCCGAGGTTCCCGAAGCTCCCGAGGTTCCCAAGGTTCCCCCAAGGCTCCCCCAAAGCTTCTGAGGTTCTCCCAAAGCTCCCCCGAGGCTCCTGAGGTTCCCCCGAAGCTCCTGAGGTTCCCCTGGGGTTCCCGAGGTTCTCCTGAGGTTCCACTGAAGCTCCCGAGGTTCTCCCGAGGTTCTCCCGAGGTTCCCGAGGTTCCCCTGGGGTTCCCCTGAAGCTCCCGGGGTTCCCCTGAAGCTCCTGAGGTTCTCCCGAGGTTATCCCAAGGTTCTCCCGAGGTTCCCGAAGCTCCCGAGGTTCCCAAGGTTCCCCCAAGGCTCCCCCAAAGCTTCTGAGGTTCTCCCAAAGCTCCTCTGAGGCTCCTGAGGTTCTCTCCCAAGGTTCTCCCAAGGTTCTCCCGAGGTTCCCGAAGCTCCCGAGGTTCCCAAAGCTCCCCCAAGGTTCCCCCAAAGCTCCCGAGGTTCTCCCAAAGCTCCCCCGAGGCTCCCGAGGTTCCCCTGAAGCTCCCAAGGTTCTCCCAAGGTTCTCCCGAGGTTCTCCTGAGGTTCTCCCGAGGTTCCCAAAGTTCCCCTAAGGTTCCCCCAAAGCTCCCGAGGTTCTCCCAAAGCTCCCCCGAGGTTCCCGAGGTTCTCCGGCGGTTCCCCCGAGGCTCTCCTGAAGCTCCCAGGGCTCTCCTGAGGTTCCAGAGGTTCCCTCGAGGTTCTCCTGGGGCTCTCCTGAGGCTCTCACAAAGCTCCTGAGGTTCCCAAGGTTCTAGAGGTTCTAGAGGTTCCGGAGGTTCTAGAGGTTCTAGAGGTTCTAGAGGTTCTAGAGGTTCCGGAGGTTCTAGAGGTTCTAGAGGTTCTCCAGAGGTTCTCCAGAGGTTCTCCTGAAGCTCCCAGGGCTCCCTGAGGTTCTCCCGAGGTTCCTGAGGTTCCCCCAAGGTTTCTGAGGTCCTCCCGAGGTTCCTGAGGTTGCTGAGGTTCTCCCGAGGTTCTCCTGAGGTTCTCCCGAGGTTCTCCTGAGGTTCTCCTGAGGTTCCCCCAAGGTTGCTGAGGTTCTTCTGAGGTTCCCCCAAGGTTCTCCCGAGGTTCCCCCGAGGTTTCTGAGGTTCCCCCGAGGTTTCTGAGGTTCTCCTGAGGTTCCCCCGAGGTTTCTGAGGTTCTCCCGAGGTTCCCCCAAGGTTCCCCAAGGTTCCCCCGAGGTTTCTGAAGTTCTCCTGAGGTTCCTGAGGTTCTCCCAAGGTTCCCCCGAGGTTCCTGAGGTCCCCCCGGGGCTGTCCCGTGCCCCTCCCGCAGCTCGGCTCCCATGCCCGGCCCGCGATGGAGCTCGGAGGGGACGCGGTGCCCTGCGGGAAGGACAAATTCATCTCCAGGTAAAAACCCAGGGAATGAGGCCCGGGACACACGGGGGGATGTTCCAGGGGATGTTCCAGGGGATGTTCCAGGGGATGTTCCAGGGGATGTTCCAGATGTGGAATGTGGGATATTCCAGGGGATGTGGAATGTGGGATATTCCAGGGGGATATTCCAGGGGATGTTCCAGGGGATGTGGAATGTGGGATGTTCCAGGGGGATATTCCAGGGGATGTTCCAGATGTGGAATGTGGGATATTCCAGAGGTTATTCCGGGGGATGTGGAATGTGGGATGTTCCAGGGGATGTTCCAGGGGGATATTCCAGGGGATGTTCCAGATGTGGAATGTGGGATATTCCAGGGGATGTTCCAGATGTGGAATGTGGAATATTCCAGGGGGGATGTTATATATAACAATATACCACAGTATATAACAATATATAACAATATAAAGCATTATAAACACAATACATAACATTATAAACACATTATATAACATCATAAATACATTGTATAACATTATAAATACATTATCTAACATTATAAATACAGTATATAACATATCTATGACTATAAAACACAATATTTGAGATAAGTATATATAATATAAAAACTATATAAAAT